CATCCATCTATCCATCATCCATCCATCATCCACCCATTCATCCATCATCCATTTATCGTCCATAATTTATCCATCTTTCATCCAGCTGTCTATTATCCATCCATTATCCATAATTTATCCACCCTTCGTCCATCCATCCACCATTTTTCTATCCTTCATCTATCTATTCATTATCCATCCATCCATCCATCCATCCATCCACCCACCCATCCATCCATCCATCCATCCATGCATCACTTCACCCTTCCATCTATCAACCACCCATCTATCCATGATCCATCCATCATCCACCCATCCATCCATCATCCATTTATTGTCCATCATTTATCTATCTTTCATCCATCTATCTTTTATCCATCTATTATCCATTATGTATATGTCCTTCATCCATCCATCCATCCATCCATCCATCTATCCATCCATCTATCCATCATCCATCCATCATCCACCCATCTATCCATCATCCATCCATCATCCATCCATCCATCCATCCATCATTCATTTATTATCCATCATTTATCTATCTTTCATCCATCTATCCATCATCCACCCATCCATCCATCCATCCATCCATCCATCCATCCATCCATCATTCATTTATTATCCATCATTTATCTATCTTTCATCCATCTATCCATTATCCATAATTTATTTGTCCTCCATCCATCCATCCATCCATCCATCATCCACCCATCCAACTGTCATCCATCCACCCATCCATCCATCATCTACCCATCCATCCATCCATCCATCCATCCATCCATAATTTATCTATCCTTCATCCATCCATCCATAATTTATCTATCCTTCATCCATCCATCCATCCATCCACCCATCTTCCATCCATCATCCATTTATTATCCATCATTTATCTATCTTTCATCCATCTATCCATTATCCATCGATTATCCACAATTTATCCATCCTTCATCCATCCATCCATCCATCCATCCATCCATCCATCCATCCATCCAACCTATCAGATACATAGACCTGAAGACCCAACCATGGTCTTCCTGATGCAGAACATCAAAACATGAGTAGAACCTACATGGAGTTCTGGTGACCATAAATCGAAAATCCAAAACTCACTGCTGTGACCTTTGACCTCACACAGCATATGGCCTGTTAAACTGGTCCATGTGGGTCATGGGAACCAAAAGCTGTAGAACTGTTGGTCTGAGAGAGATGGGAGTAGAAGTTAGAGGTTGTCAGATGTTTGTAACATCTGGTCTCATATTTAATGTTCTGGAGGAAGGACGCTGTAGCGGGTTCCTGCTCATAAATTATTTAGTTTTGGGACCTCCTGCCTTCTGCTCCAACATAATTATGAGTTCTCTTTATGAAACATGTGAGTCTTCAGCCTCCCCGAAGAACCAAAACTTAATGTCCAATAGATAAATCTCAGCTTAGACCTGCATGAAGCTGGACTCGATGGTGTCTGAGAATTCAACCAACAACAGATTTAACAGAACCTAAAGAGAGCTCAGAAATGATGTCCAGATCGAGTGTTTTCAGCCTCACCTTCAGGAGGACAAACAGGTCTTCTGTTTGGTCTGACGAGCCTTCTGAGTCTTTAGGGTGGAGCCTAGAGGCTTAGAAGTTCAAAAGTGTTTTAAACAATCACTTCCTGTTTGAGTTTGTCCTCTGTTCTCACGAGAGAGGGAGGCCCCCTGCAGACCAGCTGTTTTTAGTCTACTGCCCCCTGGTGGAGGACCTACCGTTAGACGGTCATACAAGAAACGTGCTAATCATAGAGTTACGCTAACATGATAGCACAGCTCCGTTTGATACGAGTGTCAGGAGTTGTAATCTGAGGTGGGTAGTATGGACTACTGGGGGTCGGTTCTGAATAATCCCTGCAGCAGGATGCTACAGGTGTCTGAGGAACACACACACACACACACACACACACACACACACACACACACACACACACACACACACACACACACACACACACACACACACACACACACACACACCTCCTGGATGTGTGTTTCTGTCATGATCATGCCCTGGCCTCTGTGTTTTCCTGTCTCCCTACAGCAGTAGTCATCTAGCTGGTTAATTCCACCTGTGCTGCTCCCTATTTAAGCACCTGGCTCTGCTGCTAAGTGTGAGATCGTCTGCTGCCCTACAGTCCTTCGAGCGTTTGAACCTGTCTGTCTGTCTGTCTGTCTGTCTGTCTGTCTGCCTGTTTAGTACTGACCTCAGTCTGTCTGACCACAGAACCCGTCTATTGCCTCAGCTCCATCCTGAATCTGAGCACTCACCTGCATCAGCATTCCTCATCGCTGAGCACCACTGCTGCTTTCAGAAGGTCAGTCACTCGTCAGATTAAGACATCTGAATTATCTCCCTCGCTGACTGTTTTCTCCCAGGCCACGCCACCCGGAACCGGCTCCAGCTGGTCCCGATCGCTTTAACAAGTCCTTTAAATATTTCTCTGTGTTTGGCTGTTGCTGGATCCGGCTGATCGTCACTGGGTCTGACCGTG